GTACTGGATTGGCTTCTATTCTGGGCTACATTTGCACTGCCTGGCAACCATCTCAGAAAAATTTACTTTGGGATGGTTGTGAGACTCCCTCGAACAAGATTATCCCTACATGTGCAACATATCTAAATTTGGTTGTACAGCAGGCATTCTACAGCAGCTTGCGCAGAGCCCATAGAAATACATGGTACAGGGGTCCGTGTCATAGCAACGTAGAATGTTCTGTGACGTATCACTGTTCCTAAAAAATATTGTAAGTATATATACACTGTAACATCAGTGAATAGCTATTGTCAAGGGTATATTAACGAAAGCTTTTATGAATTTATTTCCTAGATTTGAACACTGTATATTGACACTGACCTCTGTAATTTTTGTTATCAAACAAAAACACATACATTTTGTGTTTATTTGTTACAGACTTCACATCTTCACAGATAAAGTTACAAACTCAATACACAAATACTCAAAACAGTCATCATTTCATACCTTGTAACCAGTTGGATATAGTTTCAAAATCCGACATATAATACCACCATAGTTACTATTGGATACCAATTCTACTGTGAATGGACCAAACTCCAATGACCCCTCATCTGGCCAATACTGACCAAGAGACTGCAAAGTAATGTATGAAAGGATTAGTGATTAGATCCTTATGAAGAGATTTAATTGAGCTTAGTTCTGAATTGATCAAACTTTATGAAAGGATTTGTGATTAGACCTTTATGAATAGATTTAAGTGAGCTAAGATCTGAGTTAGTCAAACTTTAAATCTACAGAAAGCTCCTCTTCAGACCTCATGATCTCGCAAAGTTTGTTTGATTGAGTTTACAGAAATGAGCGAGATTATCAAAGTTGTGAAAATGCAAAATCTAAAAATGTATGTTTGTTTTGCGATGTGATCAATCAACATTTTCAATTCACTCAAGATCTTTTTTGCATATCACATGACATGCATATCGACATCTATCAAGTGCTTGCTTCTATAATATATGTCTCAAAATCACAGAAACTGAAATGCATTTCAGTAGTTTCTGTTTGGTAGTGTTAACATTTGATTCACATTGGGTTTCAACTAAGAGTATTCACATTGAGAGAAATCAAGTTGAGACAAACATAATATTGACACCCACCATTACATACATGTATATTGTTCTTACCTCATCGGTTTTATCCATTGCATTCAACATGACTATACTACATGACTTGTAATTATGGATCATTCTCCAGAAGTGATCTATCGTGTTAGGTAGTGGCATCTGAGTGGCAAGAAAGGCGTTCTTCTGTTTGTATGCCTGAAGTTAAAAATACTTAAATACATTCTTATTCATAAACAAGCAGCCTGTCGACTGAGATAGCTCCGCTGTTAGCAATGCACATTGCAATTGAAGAACTGAAGATATCATTAGAAAATAAACAATATGTATAGTATCAAAGCAATCGGACTTGCTGTTTTTGACAAGAATTCAAAAATATAACTTTTTACCAAAAATGACAAAAATATTCACCAAAATGAGAGAATTAAAGATATCATCACAAAATGATCAAATCCGAGAGAGGTCCATATGTAGTCCCTATATATGTAATATCAAAGCAATCAGACTTGCAGTTTTTAACAAGACGTCGAAAATATCACTTTTTACCAAAAATGACAAAAATATTCACCAAAATTAGAGAATTAAAGATATCATCACAAAATGAACAAATCTGAAAGAGGTCCACATGCAGTGCCTATATATGTAATATCAAAGCAATCAGACTTGCGGTTTT